GTTATATTTTACTTTATTTTACTCTTCTTATTATAGCCTGTTTTTATTGCCTGTATGCGACTAAATAAAGTGCGGTATTAAAAAAAAAGCACCATTTTCAAATATTTTGTGGTATATTTGGACAAACTGGTCAAATGTACTCCATTTTATTTTCTCAATCATTTATTATGTTTAATTAAACATCCCTACATGTATTTTTTGAAAAGTACACTTTGCTATTTATTTGGGGGTTGAATAAGTTAAACGGTCTGTGAGACCGACGCGACTACTCACTTCCAAAAATTTGACGCGACTATCCGAAGGCAGGCTCTATCTCACGGTCTAAGACTTGTGGTAATTGAATAAATCGATAGAAAGTGTTGTGCGTTACTAAACACATTTTTCGAACAAAAATAATGATGAGTGATGTAAGGCTGCCACCGCCCTTGTCCTTTGAGGGAAACCTCTCAGAAAACTTTAAGAGGTTTAAACAGCATTGGGAGATATATTTAGTTGCAAGTGGAATGGATGATAAGGAAGACAAAGTTAAGGTAGCTACCCTTTTAAATCTTATTGGAGAGGAAGGCATAGAGATATACAACACATTGAAATTGACAGATGAACAGAAAAAAGGTCTATAAAACTGTCCTAGAAGCATATTTTACACCTAGGAAAAATGTAGTACACGAAAGATTTGTGTTTTACAATAGAAAACAGGACACTTTATGACAAAATATCCAATAAATAGGAAAATATTATATCAAACCCCTTTTTAGAGTAATACCTTCTTTCAGACACTATTTCCCCATCAGTTTTTGCAATACCGTCCTCTTTACGGGCCTAGACCAAATTAAGAAAAATAATAATATGTCTGCTGTTTTTCCCAACACAGCCCTTTTGATCAAGTGAAAAAGTTTGCTAGTGTGAAGCTAAGAAGGAAATAGTAAGTAAAAATGTTCCTACTCCATTTTTCGATATTTTGTTGATGTTTTTAAGTTATAAACATGTTAATCTACGATTATAACCATAAAAATTAAATGAATATTATTATTTTGTTAATTTTATTAAATGTCCGGATAACCGGTCCTATAAATCGGCAGACGCCTCTTCTCGGCCACTCTGTCTGGAATTTACCATTGAAGGCATGGAGATCATATTATGGAAGAAGGGAATGAGAAAAAAAAAAAAAAACTTGAAGTACAAAAAAATAAACAAGAGGACTAGAGAAACAAAATACCAAAAAAAGTGCAAACAATGATGGAAGAAAATAAAATTTCCAAAATAAAATATTGGTTGTGAGAAGTGCCCAAACTGGTACTATTTAGCATGTACTAGTTTATGTGGACGAGAAAACGTATTTCTCGGAAACGTGTCCGACAACGGGTCCCTTTGTGTCCGAGAAATGTAATGATTGTCCGACAACCGGCAAAATGCACGTTTTTTGAATAAAGCATTTTTCTACAAAAATGCAAAACCTTTTAACTTTTTTTGTTGCAGGAATCAATTTTATATACTATAAGGTATCATAAAACATTATTTAAATTCGATTCGCTCTATCCACTAATTTTCAATCGCCATTTTATTCCAGAATTTGCCTTAAGTGGCCGACAACAGGTACTTTCACCCTATATGTTATTTTCTTAGGGCCAAGCAAATTCGAAATTGCTACATTTTGTGTTTAGCACAAAATTATAAGAGACGCCTCAATAAAAACCGAAAATTCAGGTAAATGGGTTCTAGGAAATGGCACAATTTTAGTTAATTAGGTACATTCCAGCTATATATTTTTAAATAAATAAAATAAAATTACACTTTGTTTACATTTCATAAATAAGGTTAAATTCATAGAGAATCGAGCGAGATCGATGGGTTATCGATATCGAATTCTTGAGAGTTGAGAACACAATTCGTAGAGAAATTTCGTGAAATCAGCAACCACATGGCAACACTTGAAGAAAGCAGCCAATAGAAAATCTAGGCGCGTGACGTCACCATCCTAAGAATTTTGAATTTCAATTAAAAATTTAAGGCCTTTCCCAGTACCAAAAAAATCCGAAAAAAATATTTCTGGGCTTAATTTTGATTACCCTTTCAGATAAGCAAATAAAAAAAAAACGTGGGAAAGACCCATTAAGGAAAAATATTGCTAAGACATACGTTTAAAAAACCAAATCAATCTTTGATATGATCCCTCGCAATAGGCGCAAAATTCATAGATCGGTCAACGCCACCGTTTTTCAGTTTATACTAATACACCTTCGAATATACTAACAAGATAAGTAACAGTCTAAAATCAAATGAAAGTATTTTCGAAATCCTCCGAAATCACCCGAAATCCTTTAGAATCACTCAAAATCCTACGAAATCACCCGAAATCGCTCTAAATTTGAAATCTTGTCACATTTTTCCTTTAGGAAATAACCCCTCGATAATACTTTTGTTTGTTTGTTTTGTACTTTTCTATATTCAAATTGATATTATATCGGGTGATATTCTAAAAATACCTACCCAATATGTTCTATACATACACGCCTGGCAAGTGAACATCTTACATGCCAATTTTAATGCGATAGAATGAAATGTTTATGAAAAGTCTAAGGTTAAATAGAGAACGAATACGATTTCCCCTGTTCCACCTCCAGCAAAAAGCGCTGGGAATGCTAGAGGTGGAACAGGGGAAATTGTCGAGGAAATTGTTTTCGTTCCCTATTCAACCTTAGACATTCTCTAGACATTTCATTCTATCCCATTAAAATTGGCATGCATGCAAGATGTTTACTTGCCAGGCGAGTATATTCGGTCCAACATAGACCACTGCCAATAATCAGTCTTAAATATTTAATGTTCTCTACTTTATCTAGGCTATAACCCGAGCTATAACCGTTTATATTGATACCTATAATAATTTTCTATGGGTGTTATTTATGTGCCAGCAGTTGTTATTGGCTTTGGGTATACACAGGTATACAAGGGGTTCCATGAAAAAATGTCAAAAATTAAAAAAAAAAAAATATATAGAACAACCTGTATATTATTAGATTTTATGTATCTTACGAAAAGAAAACTTCAGTCCTCTCCACTAATTTTAGAGTGGAGAAGACTGAAGTTTTCTTTTAGTTATTTACCAAGCTCCACTGCAAGAGAATGGCCTCAATTTTTTCAATATATTTATCTTATCTCGATATACAGGGTTGTCGTTATGTATGGAAACGGCCTTATATTTCTGAACGCGCTTAAGAACAATGTACCATATTTCCCACCTGGGGTTTTTTGGGAATGCCCGATTCAATGGTGGTATTTGCAATGTTGCCAACTACTCTACCGTTTCGAAGACGTCGTATGTAACTTGTTTTTTTTTAATGAAAGTCCCTCTTTATTTTTATCGTGAATAATTCAGGGTCCCAACATTACTAAAACCCCTGAATGCTAAACCTCCATTTGACTTTGTTTTTGAAATATGGCAACAAAGCTTTTTTGTTTGAATGTGTGGAAACGGTCTCATATTTCAGAACAGGCTTTAGAAAAATGTGATAAGATACATATTTAAGATTCATAGGGGGGCTGGTAGGCCTAAGTAGGATATATACCTATATGGTACATTTTTCTAAGTACCCCAAAAAATCTATCCATTGAAGTACGATTTGTTTGGTGGCTATGCTATCCGATATTCCCATACCTACCTTTCAATTTAGGTTCCAAGATACAATTATTATTATAACTAATACCACACCAAACGTTAATGGACCTACAACCCGAAGACTAAGGTTTGTTCCAACACAGCAGGAAACCGTACAATGTACCGTCACGATTCTACGCAAAACCTAAATTTGTGCATATAACTCGAATTTCGTTTACTGAGTGGTTTCAAAACCATTCTTGAATGGTTTTTTGACGTTTCGGAACAGACCTTATATAATTTTTATTTAATGCGGACTTATTTGACTCATCGGTCCACACAAAATTTGGATTTTGTTCCAGCTACGGCAGCATCGAGGGCAGCATATAATATTCACAAAATTGCAATATTTCCCGCTTATTGTTTTCGCCTAAACACTGTACCTTTGTAAATTAGTTCAAATTTATATCTTTTCCAGCGTATTTTGTGTTTTCTAGTATCTCATAACTAAACTTTTACCAGCAGTTGAAATGGAATGCGTGGGATTTTCCACGAATAAATCATGGTGTAGAATTCTTGATATTAAGTTATAATTTTATCTTGGAAACATAATAAGGCATTTTCCATGAAATTCAAGCTACAATTAACCTTTTTCCTTTGTAAACTTTTTGAGGTTTTCAGTTGATTAAATACATTTACGAAACGTATTTACAATTTGCGTTTGTTGGTTTCTGTGTGCCTCACGACATCCTTGTTTTGCTGAACTCTTATTTTTATTATGCTTGTAGAACTGTAAAATATAAAAAAAATCTTATTTGGTGTAGGTACCTCATTTCTATAGGAAATTAAGGGCCAGTTTATTCACCACCTGATAAACTGTTAGGCATGCAATCTGACAAATAAAAACGCAATTTCATCTCATTGGTCGGCCAGTTATCAATTATCAATATTTCGGAAACAGTTGAACATAGGTGAAGAATGTTATACATGAAAAAGATCCAGAATTTTCTGAAATATCCAAAAATAGAATAGGCATACAGGGTGTTCCATAAAAAAAAAAAAACACTTCATGTATCACTCTACAAATATCACTTGATGGCATGCATTAAAAAAAATTAAAAATACTTTAAGAAAAATTATAACTGCTAAAGCCTACTAAAGCTTTGGCGAATTATATGACAATTTTAATTACCTTAGTATGTGAATCGGTATGTAATGCACTACTTACTTGATATTAGAGGACTAGGAAATTGCAAATTGACTGCATTTCTTAGAGATCCTTTGACAGATTCAAGTGTTTTGCAGTAGTTATTTGGAATAGTTGATACTTTCTCAACCAACTCTAAATGGTTGAATCCATATTGAGTTACTATTAACTATGACACTTTCAATATTTGATTTTTAGGAAAAGATGAAAAATCCCAACAAATAACCAAGCTCATTGAAACAGCTGAAGTAACTTCCAAATTGGACACTGATAATTTTGTAGCAGTCAAAATAGAAGCAGACTCTGTTCCTCATCGACAATTCAGCGAATTCTGTATGTATTCTTATATTTCATTTCATTTCATGTATATCTTATAAATGAAAACTATTTGTTCATCAACTATTTTTATATAGACAACCAAACCCCTGTGCCTTCAATTTATTTCATTGGTAAAAATGGTTCACCAATAAAAATCATAATAGAAGCTACAGATGTTAGTACTCTAACCAAAGAATTGAATGAGGTGCTGAATAAAGCTGGAATTACTCCAACGGCGAGCCCTAGTCAAGGAGCAGGCAAGAATTTGATTTGAAAAAAATTACACAAATATAATATTTTTCCATTACAGCATCGGCTTCACAAAATTTTATAACTGCGGAGCAAGCACCTCCAAAACCAGATAATGTTGTTTGCGATAATGGCGTTTGCGTACTCAAAAGGGATCCTGAGCCCGATCAGTCAATTTCTGCCCCTGCAGGAGACCAAACCTTGACTGCTGAAGAAAAAATGGAGAGAGCCAAAAAATTACTGGAAGCTAAACGAGAGGAAAAGGAACGACAAGAAAAAGAGGTGAGATGATAGTTGGTTTAAAATTTATAATATTTATTTCAATTCAACTGAGTTTGATTGCCTTTTGCTGAAAAACCTTAATTTAAAATTATTGTCATAGTTGGAAAAACAAAAAGAATTGGAACGTCGTAAAATGGGTCAAGAGGTCCAAAGAATGAAAGAGTGGCAAGAAGACCAGGAACTGAAACAGCTCAGAGAAGAAAGAGAAAAAGAAAAAAGACAGATGCGCGAAGCTAGGGAAAGGGTTTTAGCTCAAATAGCTCAAGATAAAGCTGAAAGAGCTGCTAAATTTTCACCACCTCATTATTCTTCGCCCATAACCGACCCAACTCCAGGTCCGTCGACAAGCTCCAAACCCGATTCCAATACTGCACGATTACAATTTAAAATGCCAGATGGGTCAACGAAAACACAAGATTTTCCTAGCAGTGATAAACTTATATCTGCTGTGAATTATGTCAAAGCAAATTTAAATGTGTCATCTAAATTTAGTTTGTCAACTACATTCCCAAGGTATGATTCATCAACACTCAAGAATTCTTAGTTGTGAAAATAATTTTGTATTTTAGGAGACAGTTCACTGAAAACGACCATGAGCAAACCCTAGCTGAACTTGAATTGACACCTAACGCTGTGATTCTAGTTTTGCCCTTGAATCATGGTGCAGTATCGACAAATCAAGGTGCAGGAGGAGTGATGGGTTTTGTGTACTCATTGCTAACTCCTTTGTTTGGAATTTTGAATTTTATAAAGTTATTTTTGGGCTTTGGTGGTGATAGTGCTCAGGGAGAGTCATCACAAGGATCTTCTTCTGAAGCATCACGCAGGTAAAAATTTATTTATTTGTTTTTCTATGAAGAAGTTGAATTTTCTACGTATTTCTTTGTATTACGAAGATTCCTTGCTCAGCTTACTAAAGCCCAGTTTATTTTTCTGCCTTCTTAAAAAAAAATTACCTTATCTTATTTTTTGTAAATATTCTAATTCCAATTGAATTGGTGATTTTTCAAACTTTAATGCAGTGTGTATCAAAAGTGGAAAGTGTATATTATTCTTTTATTGCAGTTTATTCAATAAGGTAAGAAATCATACAAGTAATCAACTTTGGCTCTAGTATATGGGAAGAGTTTAAAATAGAGTCAATGTGTTTGTTGTCTTGGAGGTTCACTAGTTTTTTCTTGTTATATTCAACAACATAATATTAGCAAATATACATACAAAACAGTTAACATATAAAAAGTTATTGATTGGCCAAAGCAAAAAAGCATTTATGGAATATAGACTTCTTGCTATAGGTAAAAATAATCGCTTTAAATTTTAAATAATTATCAAAAACCTCAAAGGCCTAGTCTCAAACCAAAATCCAATAACAGCAAACCTAAATTTTTTTCAATAAAATTGTATTTCTAAGTCAACCCAAAATCCATTGCATTTCTATTGCAAGAATCCCTGTATTGTGAACAAGGGTTTTTTGTGTTTACGTTATTCGAATTGTACTGGAGTTCAATTTTTATCAAACACAATAACCCTATGTTGATTCTTTCCCTCAATCTTCAATGAGCACACTGTACTAGCTTGAAATGGTACATTTTGTACTAAATTACAATATCACCACCACTTTTATACACTGCATTAAAAATTGTTAAAAGAAAATTACTATGTACCATTTTAAGCTAAACAGCATAGCAATCAAGTACCTAAAATTAATTGAAATCTTCTTCCTTTCAGATCTAATTCTGTTCAAAGCTGTAGCCAGTACAACTTCGAAAATCATTTAAAAACAGCCGGTAGCAAACTGGTAGTCGTCGATTTTTTCGCCACCTGGTGTGGTCCTTGTAAAGTAATCGCTCCAGAACTAGAGCGAATGGCTAAAGAATTCCCTAACGTGGTTTTTCTCAAAGTCGACGTGGATCAAAACAGTGACTTGACCAGACAACATAATGTAACCGCTATGCCTACTTTTATAATGTTCAAAAACCGGAGAGAGCTGACCAGGATTCAGGGAGCTGACTCTTATGGGATTAGATCTGCAATACAACGATATAAGTAGATTGTTGAGCTTGGTTCAGAATTTTGTGAAATATAATTTTCATGCACTAATAATAAATATTATTATTTATTCAATTATTATATTATGCTTTTTCATTATAATCATTTTAAATTATGTATATTCAAACTTAATACTTTATTTTAGGTTGTTCATGTTGTTTTATTAGAATTAGTTGATATGTTATATTCTTTAATACAATATTTTTAATAAATTAAATTCAATACATATATTTTGTTTATTTTCGATATTCTAGGAAATTACTCAATGATCCAATGCCATTTTAAGGCTATTCTATTTTGATGAGAATTCAAAATGAACTTTTTTATTGCAGTGAACCAAAAAATCCTAGAGCTAAGCCTCCTCCCTCTGAGTCAAAAACAGTTAAAAAACAAGGAAATATTCGTAGACTGGCTGATATTAATAAGGATGACGACGAAAATAATACTTGGAATGGAAACTCCACTGAGCAAATGTGAAAATCTTATTATTATTATAAGCACCTTATCCATATAATTATTGTTATTTTATTACACGTATTGTTTTATTGTAAGTAAATATTATTGTCAATAGTGAAACTCGGATATGAAGAACTGTTATGGGAGAACTGAAATTTATTTATTTGTTTATTGTCTAACAGGATAAACCCAATAACAAGACAATTATAATAATATCAAATTAAAGACTAGACAAATGTTATTGTAAACTTAAAACTAGGTTTTGACATATGCTTCATATACAAATACATGAAGTAACTAACTATAGGTTGTAATTAACAATCAAGAAGAAAACAGATGTAAATTAAGTATATTAAGCAGCATCAACAGCTTCCCCCGGCAAAACCCCAGGACAAAAAGTTAACCCCAAGCTAATCAGCAATATTCCACAAAAATGCAAGATTCAATAATCAATCAAAACAATCACTAGAGCAATTTAATTCAGGAGAGCATTTTTTATCTGTGATATAATTTTAGTTTTAAATGACTTTACAGTACCATTGAAAAGATCCAACTCAAGTACAATGGGTATTAATTGATTATGCCATGAGCAGGCTCTATATATAGGCGCATTTCTGGCGAGATTAGTATGACAGTTTTCCAGATAAAATTTATGGTGAGTTCGGGTGTTTGCTGCAGGAACCAAAAAATTGAGGCAACTCAATATTTCAGCCGAATCAATTAAATTATTGCATATTTTGAAAATGAACAATTGACTGGCAAGAATTGTACTTTGCTTAAGTGATAAAAAGTTAAATCTTTCTAGTAATAATTTGTGGTCATATCCCCGTGGAGGGTAAATGCCATCCTGCTTAAAGCTTAGGTACTTGAGAAATCTGCGCTGGACATATTCGAGCCTGTCAACATGTACATCATAACTAGGAAACCATATCAGAGCTGCATATTGTAATTTTGATTTTATCAATGAGTTGTACAAGGCAATCAAGCCCTCCGTATTTGTGAAATCTTTTGTAGACCTAATAATAAAGCCAAGTGTTTTCAAAGAAGCTTGAACGATTTGGTCAATATGTTTATTAAAGCTTAGTTTACTGTCGATAATTACCCCAAGGTCTCGTATGGAATCTACACTTGAAAGATTGGTATTTTCAAGTCTATATGCAAACTTCACTTCATTATGAAGTTTGGAAATAGTCATAGAACGGCATTTATTAATATTTAGCGGAAGTTTATTTGTGATACACCAAGAAGACAGGGAGTCAATGTCGTTTTGTAATTCTGAGCAGTCCTGTATGGTGTCAATAATTCTAAAAATCTTCAGATCATCAGCAAACAGTACACAGTTAGATGAGATAGTGTCGGTGATATCATTCACAAAAATAGCGAATATTAGAGGAGCTAGATTGCTTCCCTGAGGAGCGCCACTTGAAGCGCTGAAGTCAGCAGAACGAAAACCATTGTACTCCACAAACTGTGTTCGCCCACTCAAATATGAGATAAATAGATTCACCAGGTTCCTATGAAACCCAATGTTGTACATTTTCCGGGCAATGAGACCATGATCCAACTTATCGAAGGCCTTGGAAAAGTCAGTATATATGACGTCAAGTTGTTTCCTATTATTGATAGCTTGATAAGCTCTTTGTAGGAAACTTGTAAGATTTGTGATAGTTGATCTCTGTGGGAAGAAGCCATGTTGAGTAGGAGATATTAGGTTTTTAACTTGATGGAAGAGATTGTTGTGAATACAGATTTCAAAGGCCTTCGAAAAGTTGGACAGTATGGAGATAGGTCGATAGTTAGTGATATTATTATTTTGACCTGCCTTAAAGACAGGACAAATCTTAGTTTTTTTCCATTTTTCCGGAAATATATTATTTCTTAAAATTTTATTGAAGATAAGATGTAAGGGCACTGATAGAAACGGTGAGCAATCACGCAATATAAAAGATGGTATTTTATCATAACCTGCAGTTTTTGTATCTTTTAATTTTTTGAGTGCACTGCACACTTCAAGCTGAGAAATATTATTAATGGATATATTTTGAGAGTTGTAGGGCTCGACAGGGTTAATTGAGAAGGGATCTGATGATGCAACATATACACTTTTGAAAAAATTGGCAAATCCATCCACTATGTTTTGCGGGGACTCTAAAGACAATTGGTCCAGAATCATTGATCCTGGTATACGAGATTTTTGCCGTTTTTGCCGGATATATTTCCAAAAATTCTTAGGTTCCCTTTTTATTGATGATTCAGTATTTCTTATGTAAGATCTGTAGGCTTCATCAATTTCTGCTTTAATAGTCTGCCTAAGAGTCGAAAAAAAGTCATAGTCACTTTTTAATTTAGTTTTTTTGTAATTGTTGTGTAGCCTTTGTTTTTGGTTTAAGTGTCTTATTATTTCTCTAGTGTACCAAGATGGATATGAGAACTTATTTTTTGTGTTTACATGGAAAAGAGGGACTGACTGATCAAGAATATTGTAAAATGTCTCGTAAAAAAGATTAACTGATGTATTGACATCTTGTTCATCATCCAAGAAGTTCCAATCTGTTACTGATAGTAACTGATACATAAGTGGATAGTTTGCTCTTTGAAAGTTATAATTTTTATTTGTGTTGCAAGGGAAGTTTCTGGGTAAAGAGCCCATTTGTGGATCAATTTCAATTGTGAGGGTGGGGTGAGCAAGATCTTCAGGAACTAGGGGTATAGTTTGTCTGTTAATTTCACACTTGATGTTTGTAATGACAAGGTCTATTATGTTACCATAGTGGTTTGGAATATTGTTCAGTTGATCGAAGTCAGTTAAAGCTAGAAAATCTTTTAATTTAAGTGATTTTGTATGAGAGTTGATGTTGAAGTCACCAATTATGATAACTTGATTATTTTGCACAGGCTCATAAGTTGTGAAAAAATCAAATAAGCTCTGATAATGGATTAAAGGTGAATTTGGTTGCATATATATTGTAAAGATATAAATAAAATGGTTCTTAAAATGAAGCTTACAGCCCAAAACATCAATCTCTGGAATCATTTCCTCGAGCTCACTCAAATTCAACTTTGACGCAGTTATATCGTGCCTAATACCAATTATATATAAAATATTTTGTTATTGAGAGCTGGCAATAAAAGCAAACCGAGACACTGATTAATGATTATTGAATGTTTTATTTTAGAATAAAAAACATATTAGTTTTAAAGTTTATCAAATAATACTAACACTTTCACTGCGGCCCTACAAAAAGGCCATTTAGCCATGTGCGGGACATATTAAGCAAGAGCAAAACTCTTGTTATGTGCGGACAAAAATAAAAATCCCACCGTACTTGCGAAAACCATATTGCTACATTAAAACTCTATTCGAAGAAGACGCACAAGCGCGTCGTCCGCAAGTAGTGGGAGCAACCTTGGATGCACATGTGCGTCTTCCACAGCGAAAAAGCTGTGGCGAAAGTGTTATAATCGTCATCATACTGATACTTGACTTATCTGCTCTGTGGTACTTGAGCTGAGATTCTGTAACGAATAGAGATATTTTCGCTATCTCTATTGACGTCCCATCTCTATCAATTTCGAAAACAGAGAAGACAACAAGTGCCTTAGCGATAGAGATAAACGATATCCTATCCGTTACAGAATCCCGCCTCTGAACCTAAAAAAATAACAAGTTTATTGTCTATGATAGACATCTACTACAGACTACTTTATTCTAATGCTCATAATCAAGCAAAAAAAAAACAGTCAACCAGTTTGGCTCCAGGAAACCAAGTAATCCGTAAAGGTTACATGTGGATTCATAATCAAAGCCTGATACGTGGCGTTAAAGATTTTATGTTTGTTTTAACATTAGAAAATCTTGCTTGGTTCAAAGATGACACAGAAAAAGAAATTCAAATCATTATTCCTCTGAATGGAATGGTATAAAAATGAAAGACATAGAATCAAAATTCATATCCAGAAGACACACCTTTGGATTGTCTTATTCGAATGGAAGAAATGTTTATAAAGGTAACGAGCAATTGGAGCTCATTTGTACTTCCATAGAGAAAGAAGATACTTGGAAGGCATTGTTGTACTTAGGGCTGGAGTATATCCAGAAAGACCAGCATACCTACGAAGATATACCAGCAAACTAATACATTGTTCCGCAGTTGAAACGGCAAGTGGAAGTTATAAGGAATTTGGTTGATAGTTATATGGGAATTGTTAAGGTATAGACTATTTAATTGTGGTTTATACCAAATTCCTCGTTACAACAACTTGTGAAACAGCCGAGACGAATCAGAAGCCTTCTGAAATACTGCTCCATGATTTGGGTTAGTCCTTAACAATGATGAAAAATTGTTAAAGCTCTCTGAATGTACAAAATAAGTTTACAGAAGAGCTATACTGTTTGAACCTAATTTTTCTCAACAACAACTCTTAAACATATCTAGAAATTATAATATGGTCCAAAAAGATGTTATGTTTATGTTTCTTCACAAACTGATTAATGGATTGGTTTAGAACTGATTAAGCTAGATGAAAAACTGAAATTTGACCTGTGGATTGCTGAATTGATTAAACCTATAGGTAGGTATATATCTACATCATAGTAATATGAGTACATGATATCTGCAATAGGTACCTATACATAAAAAAAAATAATGATAATTGTTTTGCACTAGTAGTTTTGCCGCTCGAATAATGATCATTACCAAAATCAAAATTATTCCAGGTTTTTCATCACATTTTCAAAACAATCTTAATTATGTCCATTTCAGCAAGTAAGGACATTGGAATTGGAGAATTCACTTTCAGCAAGTAGGTGAAGTCTTTTGAGATTCCAGTCTCCAAAATGAAAAAAAAACCAGACAGCAAACAGTAAAATTTTACCGTATGGGGTCCAGGTTTTTTTGAAGTTCTCACCATGACTTTACATAATTCTGGTGTCTTTTCCAGCTTCTTTCCTCACAAATCTCGCAGATTTAGGATTAAATTCTTGGTTATTAGTAGTTGCCCTGTCAGGGTCGTCGCGTCGGGGGGGGGGGGGGGGGGGGGGGATCCCCCCAGGATCCAAAATTCAAGGGAAAAATTACGATGCTCAAAAGAAAATACATAATAATATTAAAGAAAATACATTTTTTTTTTGTTTTATTTTCCTCACAAAGGAAATTATTGTTCTGGAAAAGTGAATGACCTTGAAATTGGCAAAAAATTTCGCCTGCGGCGCGTTAGCGGGGGTCGCATCTTCCCATTACCCCCCCCAGACTGCAAGTCACGCGTCGCCACTGTGCCCTGTAACAAAAAGTTTATAATTTAGGTTCCTTGTTGTGGAAAACTTTTATTTTCAATAACTTACCTTATTAAGTTTGCCAATTGTAACTTGAATAAGCCAATCAATGAACTCTTACATCTTATTTTTTTCTGAAAAACTACTGAAGGGAAAATTGTGAAACTTCCAGGAGGAAAAGAGGAAAAGTAGGAGCTCATCATAGGTACTAAATTTTGAAACTCATATCCAGTGAAAAATAACAAAATGGGAATATGTACCTTTCAAAAATCCTTCTAGCAATTTTCAACAGAAGTCATATTGATTAGGCTCAGATGACTTCTGGACTTTGTTTGCTTACAGGGGGGCTCAACTCAAAAAAATTACACAACGGCAGGAAAATTGTTTGTAGATTTGTAGTTTGATGACTCAAATTGATTAAAACGTGCTGATAACATGGAAAGAACTTTAAAAAAACATCAAAGTTATCTATAAAACCTCAATATCAACAGAAGTTCAATTTACTTATAGTGGACCACTCTGTACGTAATTTTCTTGTTTACATGAAAACCTGAGGCATAATCCAGGTATTTAAAAAAGGAAATTATGCTGTAATAAGTTATGTTTCTAATGATAAATGTAGAGCAAATGCTCATATAAACATAAAGAACATGTCAACACCAAGTTTCAGCTCGTGTTCCAAAGTGTCCAGTTTTTTCCAGATAATTAACTTGTCTCCTGGACTATCATTAGGCCTACTAATCATTTATTGACCAAATTGTCATAAATCCTTTAATGACTGGTTTTCCAAGAGTGCACCCAACACCTCTCAAAAAATTGAATACTTTCAAATTGCCTTTATGGAAAATATAGTTACAACTGGATATTTCTCTAGCAATCAGCTGAAGAGTATTTTTGTGTAATAATATGCACCTTCGTATTGAATTATTTTGAAAATAGCTAAAAATTTCAGTGGAGTACCATTAGCAATTACCTACCCAAAGTTTAGGTTAGTGTCAATTTTGGTTAGTTGTGTTAGGTTAGTTGGGTAATTGTTGCTATAGTGGTAGTGACTTGAAATTTGCGATAATTAAGACTTATTTTGAGACACTTTTGAGACATTGGAGCATTACACCAAAACATTTTTGGATGATTTCTAGTGACAGTAGCTAACATTTGTAGCTATGGATTTAAAGTGGTTTAAACAGCCATTCAATTGAAAACTGGACAAAAATCTTTTTTTTTTGGTACACTCCAGCATTTTATTATAACAGTCCGACATCCAGCATACAGCATTATTTTCAAACAGTACTTACACAGCGCATTCTCTTACAGCAGCACCTACATCCAGAATATGTTCCTGGATTATTCATCTCTCACACAGAATTCATTAAAACTTTCTCCTTTTTTAACACATTTTCAAAGCCAAGTCAAAAAAAAAATTAATGATGAAAATAGGCGCGTAAGATTTTCTGGAAAACTTCTTTCTGTGACATTAAAAGTTCTAATTCCTAGAACGACTCTCTATAAAATTTACCAATTGTCCAGTAACTATTCAAATAAAAAAACATTAAATAAGAAAGTTCTGGATTGTTCCAGAATCAAAATTTAAAAATTTCATCAGAAAAATCAAAGGTTGTTCATTCGAAATTGAAGAAATCTAGAAATCCCAATTACCAAAAAATAATTGTTGGTACTACTTACCAAAATCCAGAAGCCATTGGTACACTGGGCACAAGATGCGATAATCGGAAAATGGCGGCCAAAAAATTTTAACTTGTGTGAGAAAAATCGATAATTCCCGGTCGCGACTGTCCGCACTTTTATCTATCCGCAATCGGTTCTCGACTAAATTGAAATCCCTTGTCTTGTCCGACAAAGAAATCCAAATTTCAAACTCCCGCCAACCCCCAAAAAAAAAATGTAAACTGATATTACTGATAAGGTTATAAATAAGAAAAAGTGAGATAGGCAGAAAAACTAACTGCGTAGTAGAGTAGTACCCCGACGGCAAGTGTAAATCCCCTGTTTCTAACTATACTGGGACTGGGCCGAATTAGTATAAAAAAATTTTAAAAACTCTTTTTTAGCTTTGTTCCAGCATAGTAGATAGAATCCGAAAAACGAATGCGTTCTTGGGACGGTTTTGGAACAGACCTTGATTATAACTTTCAATTTTTGTCTATTCCAGGCACTAGGCTCTCTGAAATAATTCCGGGGTTTTTAAATTGTTCAAAATGTCGCCCGAAAGTGTTCTAAATGGCTTATTATTGAAGTCCTAGAGTGTTCTAACTTGGCTTTAAGAGTTCTGTAGCATTTTAGAAGTTTTTCAGTAACTTCTAGATTGTTCTGACAGATTCAACTAAAAACCATCTTCTAGTCCTTATCAAAGGCTACCATTACTGCTCCGCTTTTGGTTTTACCGACAAAGGACATCGCACACATCTTATGGGTTCTCAGGGACCGGTCGATTTTTTTTAAAATTTGGTATGTTGTAGTACTTGCAAAAATAAGCATTTTTCATCATTGCACCCAATCTCTAAGTATACAGGGTGACCCAGTAAAGTGGGTCCGAAAATCATAAAACAAGCCTTTTAATTATCGATGCTGCAAAGTACATAAAGTTTGCATGCTGATAAATTCAGCACCCTGTATATAAGAAAGCTTCGGCCAAAAGCGGATCCGCCACCACTGAAAAAAGTATAAAGTTAGGGCTTCCCAACACTAGTTTGAAATTCACCATCGGAATGAAATTACAAAAGTTACAGCTTTCCAAATATAGTGATATTTCGAGGTGTCCCATTTCATTTTCGGCTGAGTTTATATATACTGATGTGATGCATTAGGTTTATTTCTGCGAAATTAATTGCCGTTAGAAGAAAATTATTCCACAAGTATGCAAGCAATGAATGCAAGTACCTATGCTTTTTTTGTGTCTAGTTTAGGTTGGTATGATCATCATCATCACACAGCCTCCTGGACCGACTGCTGAACGTAGGCCTCAA